TATATTGACTGGGTCTTATTTTGTCTTTATGACACCATTTTAACAAGCTAGCAATTGAGGAGAGGAAAGAGGAGGAGTTAAGGTATGGATGATATCAAAGGTGAAAAAAATGTTCTCACAATTCAAAAACACCTTGAAAAGCTAAAGCAGAAAATACAAATTCATTTATCAGTAAGTAATATATATTTCAAGAACATGGGCCTGAGGAAATGTTATGAACTAGAACAATGTAGTAATATAAATATATTTGATTTTCAGCTGATGTTTTCTAGAAATATACTTAAAAATAAATAAAGATTAAATTTATTTTAATCTAATGACTTAACAATTAGCCAATAATAATAAATGGTAATAAAAATGACAAATTTACAAAATATTTAAGTGAAAAGGGACCTTGGCAGTTAAGATATAATTTAAGCCAATTCTTTAACAAAAGTTCCCTAAAGCATCTGTCTAGACAGTGATTAAATACCTAAAGTATCAAGAAATTTATTACTCCAATCCATTTTGAAGTCATATCTAATTGTTAGAAATTATTTTATGTTAAGTCGTCTACCTATTCATCCTACTTCTGCCCTCCAGAAAGAGCTTCACAAAACTGGCCCAAATCTTGCTACATGTGCCATTACTGCAAATAATCAAAGATGCTGATCAAGTCCCTAATTGATTAATTCTCCAAGTAAAATATCTTTAGTTTTATCATGTCCATCCCCAGACACTGGCCCTAAACCATGCTCATTGCCTAGCCATATGCACTCAATTTGATGAAAGGACCTCCTAAGGTGAGCTTTTCAGCACAGAACACAGTACCTTAGTGAGGTCTTCCCAGCATGGAATTGAGCAGCTCTGCCTCAGATATCACCACAGAAAATCAACTAATTTTATGCAAGATCATAGAAAATTCTTGACTTATATTGAGCTTATTTTCAACCCTAACTAAAATACCTCTCACTACTTAATATAAATCATTTTATTGCCATGCAGTGATACTGATCAACACAAGGAGCTTATGTAATGAGTGCCATGGGTACCCACATATTATTTTTGGAAATGTGAGGTGTAAGTTAATCAGTCAATAATGTGTTAAAGGAAAACATTATTATCCCCATTTACAGCTAAGAGCCATGAAACACAGATTAAATGATTCATTCAAGGTCACGTATTCAAAGGCAAACAGAAATGAGTCTAGAATTTTCTAAATCTATCTGGTGTGCTGCACTTTTCACTGCACCATACACTTCTTGTATCTTGTATATTTTCCATGCTATCTATAGCATGATTTATAACAAATGAAATTATCCATGTAGAAACATAGAATTAAAGAAATAAGCTTAAATGTATAACTCTATTGCTTATTTTTTATTCTACTGTGTATATTTTTTAAATATCTAAACGAAAGACTTGGGGCTTGTTTAGTACTTCCTAAGAACAAGATTTTTCTTATAATATTTAAAAAATAAACTACTTTTAATTCAAACTGACAGGTAATTTTTCTTAAGGGTCTAGAATGATGAAAGTAGCATTTTATGTTAAGGCTCTTGAGATGGTAAACAAAATAAGAAGAATTATGTGGCTGAACTAAAAGTTATGAACTTTGAATTCAAAATTTATTAGTATAGACCTGAAAGCCATTTAAAGATTGAAAATGATACAGTTTTCACCAGCTTTTCAGTTCTTTTCCAACAGTGAACGGACAGGTCCACTAGAGTCATAAACCTATGTCTGCAAAGAGGATTCAGGTGGGATCCTGCCTAACATAGACTGTGGCTGATATCTGGGAAGCAAGAGGAAGGTCTCTGAATTAGAGAACTTAAAGAAATTTATGTGTAATTTATACACCATCCAATGGCCCTAGAAAATCCTACTTTCTTATAAGCTGAGAGACACAGGTGTACCTATAATGATTTATTTTTGAAAATTGCTGTCGTATATTGTGGAATGATGTCACAAAAGTTATTTGATTGAATACCATATTCCCCTGAATTCACTAAAATCTCTGTACCCGGTTCCGGTGCAGCTTTAGGGGGGGAAAAAGATGCAAATCTGTCACTTCCACATAATAAATTTCCCAAGATAGGAACCCTAGTCTGGTACACCAGGGTGACCATCATGATTAGCAAAAGATGCTTATTTTATAACGTGATCAACTAGAATGACTCAGTCTCTCACCTTCCTTGATGGTGACACTCTCCATGGTCATGTCTGGCATTTTACTTAGTCATATTTTATTGAATTTTCTTGCATTCTGTTCTCAGGAGCCTCATTTGGCCCTATTTGGCCTTGATTCATGCTCCACAACCTGCACACATTTTCTCCTATAAAATATTCATTAGGTTGTAGAAGAAAATTTTCCCTTATGGTTTTATTCTCTCAAAGACAATCAAGGAAGTATTCTTCTCCCTGAAGGATTTAATCACCTTTCCTCTAGTTTGCATCAACCACAGCAATTTATTTCCCCAAAATTATTAGGGAATAATTTGAAATCATGGAAAGAGCGTTGGACTTAAAATCAGAATATGTGACCTTGACTAAAGTCTGTGCCACTAGCTTCCTAAAGTCTCTTTATCTCTCTATTTTGAGTGAAGGTTTTGTTTGCATTTAGGTATAAAAACACTTCAGAGCTATTGTGATGATAAAATGAGACCAATTTTAACTTACCAAACAAGTGGGTATTTAAAATGTGTAAATTTTCTACTTAGAGATATAATTTTCCTGAATATGGCTATTAACTTTGTAAGTCATCAGAGCTTCAACCATACTGTAAATGTTCATCAAACAAAAATTATTACCCAGGGACGAAAAAGCCAATATGGTAACAGACAGTAATTAAAAATCTCTATTGAGTATATTATTTTTATTCATATTATTTTAATAGGCAAATCATGATTGTATACACTTAGGGAGTACAATGTTATGCTTTTATATACGTATACAATGTGAAATGATTAAATCAAGCTAATTAACATATCCATCACCTTGCTTATTTTTTTTTTTTTTAGGGAGACTGTGGGACTTGATCACCTTGCTTATTTATAATTTTTTATGATGAGACATTTGAAATTTACTGTTTTTTGAAATATACATTATTATTCACTATAGTCACACTGCTGTGCAACAGATCTCAAAACTTATTTCAGATTTCTAACTGAAACATTGTACCCTTGACCAGCAACTACTCTTTCCCTCCATTCCCTCCCTACTCTTTAACTCTGTAAGTTCAATTTTTTATATGTCGCAAATAACTAAGATTGTACACTATTTATCTTTCTGTGGCTGGCTTATGTCATTTTGCAAGATGTCCTTTAGGTTCATCCACATTGTTACAAGTGATAGACTTTTCTTATTTTTATGGTTAAATAGTATTCCATTATATATCTACACGTTATTAATCCATTCACCCATTAATGGACATTTATTTTGATTCTATATCTTGGCTACTGTGAATAATGCTGCAATGAGCATGAGGGTGCAAATATCCCTTGACATACTTAATTATAATTCCTTTGGATAAATATCCAAAGTAGGATTGCTGGATCATATGGTAGTTCTATTTTTATCTTTTGGAGGAACTGCCATACTGTTTTACATAATGGCTGTATTAATTTACATTTCCTCCAAAGTGTGTAACGATTCCATTTTCTCCACATTCTCACCAACACTTGTTACCTTTCATCTTTTTGATAAAAGCCATTCTTAAAGGTGTGAGATGCTAGACATCTCATTGTGGCTTTAATTTGTATTTCTCTAATGATTAGTGATGCTCAGCATTTTTTCTTATACCTGTTGGCTATTTGTATGTTTTCCTTTGACAAGCGCCTGTTCAGGTCCTTTGCCTATTTTTTAATTGGGTTGTTTCTTGCTATTGAGTCTGAGTTCCTTATCTGTACTTATCCTTATTTTAAAATGTTAGTACATTTTTCCATTGAAACTGGCAAGATATCCACAAGGAAGCATGCAATCATAGTTCTCTTATATTCAAGGGAACTGAGTTAGTTGGCATGATTTTACTTTCAGTGAATCTTTGAGTTTGAATATTAATTTTATTATTTCTGTCCACATAGTACTTTTTATATTATGTTTTATCTCCATTAAAATATTTATCAAGGGAATTAATTTGAAACTATTTTTATCCTTATTAAAGCTCTGTTAGAAAAATCAATATGTTGTGCTCCATATCTTTTCTAATGTTTCAAAGATAAATTCGACTCATTTAAAATTCTTCAGCAAAATATGTTATTTCAACCAGAGATTCATGATTTTTAGAGACACTAGAATTTTTTTTTCAGCTTCTCAAATGGTCTTTTTCATGCTCCATGTGTTACTTCACCTAATAAAATGTGGCATAATACAGCAAATGATATGCAATTAGAAAATTTGCCAAATGTATAACAATATATTTTCTTTTATATTATAAATATATGAAGCTCTCTACTTTAAAGATATGTTTTTTAAATAACAAAAACCAATTTTGTTTGGCAGTAGGGTGGGGGATGACAAAGAACAGGAAAACATTCACTAATAAGTATTCTAAACTTAGATCTATTATAAATGGATCAACTAAGTTGTCCAAATATAGATAACAGGTAACAATTATCAATTTCTCTGTATTTTCCTAATGAGCACTTTCTGGAATATTTACACTATTCAATTTCCCAAGATTTGGTAAAGACCTCTTTTTATATCAATAAACTTAGAGGAGGCAGAACAGGCCCCAATTAGTGATACTTTGCACTTTTCCTCTGGCCTAGCAAGCAGCCAGCCAAGCAATTCCTAAGCAGCAGCACAGAGGCTGCTGCTAGGCTTGCTTGCCACACTTCCATAGATTTGGTCAGTAAAAAGATGACTACTCTAAAAGGATTATTTTTCAATTGACACATAAAAATTGTATAAGCCAAACTGAGACCCATAGCAGATCTCAAAACACCTCTGAATCTCAGCCCCAGCCCCTCTCATCTGTGGTTGAAAAGTAGTTCTGCCCAGGCAGGGACCTGCTAGGAAACTCACCTATCTGTGTTCCCCAGGTCAGGCTTGCCAAACCTGATATACCTAGAAGCAACCCCAAAACAATTTAAATCAAAAGGTTAAAATAAGCTAGTATATGAAAATTACCCAACATATGATAAGTATCCCAGCACCCTTAGTATTCTCATTAACTCCAGTATGTTTTGTTTCCCCCTTCTTTATGATAGTCTTGCCTTCGCAATTTTGACTGCCTTCTAGTTTCCCCTGTAAAACCAATCAAACAAAACAAAATCTGGAGGCCGTCTTGAACCCCCCTCCATTTGACTAATACTTACCTCACTCCTGTCAGCTCCACAGGCTTAAATCCCAAACTCTGCTACCTGTAATCCTTTATAACTTAAGTGATTTCCAGATTTGAAACATCATATAGCTGACTATAACTATTTTTTTTCCTAAGATGATACAGCTTTGGATCAGTTCTATTGTGACTGATATGAGCCAAGCCTGAACACAGATTCCAATTCATGCTTGGATGCAATGAATTAGATTCCTGGCTATTCTATGGGAGCTGTACAATAAGATTAAAATCTTTCTCCAACCCTAATTACACCCCTTTCCTACTTACCATTTCTCTTCTTGCCAAGTTGTAGCACATCTCAAGGGCTGAAGTTTCGTGAATTCTAAAGCAATGAGAAAAAGAACTGATTCCAATTTTTTATGTCATCTACAAGTTTTCTTCATCAATTTATGGATTCTAAAAGCCCTTAACTCAAGGTCTTTTTCTCCTTTTTTATTTGCTGTTTTAAAAATACATTGAGATAAAATTATAGTGATATGGACATATAAATAGATAAAAATTAGTTTGCTATTCATATTTTTTTAAAAAGTTAAGTGACCTGTAATCTAAGTTATAGAAGATTGCAGACAATTATTTCCTTCTAGCCCTAACATCTACTGGAACACATTTTACTTTCAAAATGACATATGGAGTTTAGAAAGTGCTTAGCCTCATAATAGCATATAATAGTCACTAAATTTCATTGTCCATCACCTCCCATTATTGTTTTTACTACAGATTGTCATACATGAGTTATTTGCTATCACTAATTATAACACAATTCCTTAGGGGAGAATGTTGTCCTCCTTAGAAATCTCTGCTTCACACTGTGGTTTCTAAAAGTATATAAGAGTAAAAATTGCTAGGGCTGAATATAGCTTAATTTCAGAAAACATCTGGAAAACGAATGTGATAACTAGCATTAAATTTCTCAAAGACAGTTCCTTCTGAAAGCCATGTAAGTTTCTTTATTTCCATGTGCGCAGCTGTTGCTAACCTTTAAGTACAGTATATATCTTTGTCCTTAGGAAAGCACTCAGAAACAGTATTGCCATCTCTTGAAACACCCACAGCCACAATCTGCCATTTGTGCATTTTTCTTTTTTACCACCTAGTTGTCCTTTCTTTCCATCTCCTTCATAAATGCCTTCTCATTCACTACCCTCTCTACAGATCCCTTTATGCTTATTTCCCAAAACCTTTGACATCAACTACCCTTATGAGTTCCAAGTGATTTATGATTTAATTCTTTTTCAAATTTCTATTCCCTTCTCTCGCCCCCATTAATATGTTCAGCTTTAAGACAACCAGGAAATCACGTGTCCTTCTTCTTTCCCATATATTCATATTTTATGAATAATGGCATTTTGGTTGATCACTTCTGTGACCTGGTTTTCCACATCTAAGGCTCTCCAAATGCCAGGCCTCATGCTCAGATGCTCTCATATTTCAAATGTGTGCAGTGGCTCTATAAATGCAATGACCTCTTTCTTCCCCTGTTAAAATTTTGCATCAAATATCTTACTCCCATTTTTTCATAGATATATATCTATCATAATCTAGCCTGCCTTCACTTAGGCATCTTTCCAATTTCTGTAGTATTTTACATTACTGTTCTAGCCATATTATAATGTTATTGTTTCATTCCAGAACAAAATATAATCCTGGCTAGTTTCACAAAATTACCATTCAATATCCTCAACATTCTCTTTCTTGTTTCAGGCAAACTCTTTCTAATATAATTCAACAATCAACTTTCTATACTCTGGATTCAATGTGATTTACAAATGTTTTTTCATAGTCTGGCTTATCCTTGTATTCTCTTAACTGTTCTTACCAGAGCAAATGTTTTTAATTTCTACCTGTACATGTGAAATTGCCCCAAACTAGAAATACTCCATTATACTTCAATGGGTTAATGAATAAACACACTGTGGACATCCACACAAAAGAATTCTACTCCTTTGTATAAAATGAATAATTCTTGCTATACACAACTTGGACCTCAAAGGCATTTTGCTGAAAGAATGAAAGAAGTAAGTCCTAAGGTTATGTACCATATGATTCCATTAATATGATATTCTGGAAAAAAACAAACCAACAGAAAGATTGGAACAGAACAAATCAGCGCTTGCCAGGGGTTAAGAGTAGGAGAGAGAGTCTGATTAAAAAGGGTCAATATGAGGAAACTCTCTGTTGTATTGAAATTGTTCTATATCCAGGTGGGATGGTGGTTACAAAAATCTATGCATATATTAGAACTCATAGGGAAGATTCACAAATTTCATTTCAAAATAAAGGCTCTTTCTATTTGTCTACTTTTGAGCCAGGAAGTAAAGCTCATCATAGCCAAACAATTTATTTAGAAAAAGGAAGAGGTTGGTGATTGGTATGTAGCACAGAAGATAAGTGACAGCTTGAGCCCAGGAGTTTGAGGTTGCTGTGAGCTTAGCTGATGCCAAGGCACTCTGGGCCAAACAACAGAGGAAGTCTCAAAAAAACAAAAACAAACAAACTAGACAGTATTTAGCATGACAAAACATGGGACAGTCATCACTCTTAGTCCTCCAAGGAGAGAAATGATTAGGCAGGAGCCACATCCTAAAGGACAATCAATACATGCAGAAATAGCTTCGGACACTTGCTAACTTAGAAATATTTTCCCATAGTTTTTTGTGAGTTACTAACACATTCTAAATTAAGAAAAATCGGTTTAAAACCAACAGAAGATTTTAAACAAAATAATCCTTATGCTTTTTTCACTCCTACCAGAACAAACAAATTGTACTTGAGAGACGGATGCTGTTTAATTTGATCCCATGTCCAAAAATGCTTGTTAAGTTACAACTCTAGTTGTTTCACTGATGCAAAGATTACTGATGCCTCCTTAGGTAACAGCATCCCTATAGAAAGAGTATAAGTTTAATTATTCTGGTTATAAAATTATATATTCTCTCACTGAACTAAATCACCTCTTAATCATGGAATCTATTATTTCCATAATGAAGCATGAAGGAAACATTAATATTTTTAACCCCCAAATAAATTTGAGTATCTGCAAATATAAACTTGAATTGATCAATCTAATTGCAGAGAATAGTATAAACTGTGCTCCACTCCAAATGACATAATCTTAACCAATATTTTTCAAAGTGTTGAGAACAGAAAATAGGGGATATTTTTTTTCCAGACTAGAATGCCAGGAATATAAGGTAGAATTAGAACAGTGAATATTATAACAACATTTCACAGTGCTTACTCTCCCAGCAAGGGCTTTCTAAAGTCAGGGATATCAGACAGAATAAAACATTATTTATTTACATAAGAAAGGATCTTATAAAATTTAGAAGAATGCAACTGTATAATCAGGATAGAGATAAATCAAAATCTTAGAAGTTATAAAAAAACTTTATTAAACATAGGCAAGGAATCTCTACTACCAAACCACATGGTGGGAAGGGTCTTCTGGACAGATAATTTAGGACCATAGAGCATTGTATGTAGCTAGCCAGTATGGTTAGCTTATTTGAAGTTTAGTTCACAGTAGAAAAATAGTTACATACATCTAAAATTTTGTTAAAATAACAATAAAAGCAATTTAACTTATGGTATATAAAAGGCTGGGGAAAGCAATTAAAAATGGGAGAGTTAAGAAAAATGCAAGAAATATTGATTCTCACAATGTCTTGTGAGAAGAAAGCTTTTTATCTCATGGAATTATGTAAGTTTTAGAATTTTACTTTGAAATTTCTTTCCTCCTCTTTACCAATTTCCTTAGATTCTTAAGCTCTATTATATGCTTTATTGCAAGAGCCTCTCAGCTGCTCTCCCTGCTCTAATTTCTCTTTCCTCCATTCTATCCTCTCCAGTGCTGACAGAAGGACCTTTCCAATATTCAAACCACATAGAGTTTTTTTTTTTTTTTTTTTTTTTTGAGACAGAGTCTCCCTTTGTTGCCCAGGCTAGAGTGAGTGCCATGGCGTCAGCCTGGCTCACAGCAACCTCAATCTCCCGGGCTCAGCGATCCTACTGCCTCAGCTCCCGAGTAGCTGGACTACAGGCATGCCACCATGCCCGGCTAATTTTTTGTATATATATTTTTAGTTGGTCAATTAATTTATTTTTTTTATTTTTGGTAGAGACGGGGTCTCGCTCAGGCTGGTTTCAAACTCCTGACCTTGAGCAATCCGCCCGCCTCGGCCTCCCAAAGTGCTAGGATTACAGGCGTGAGCCACCACGCCCAGCCGCATAGAGTTTTATATCTCTCCCCACTCCCACAACCCTCAGGTTTTACAACTTTCAATGGTTTCAATATTACATTCTTTTTTTTTAATTTCAGCATATTATGAAGGTACAAATGTTAAGGTTACTTATATTGATTGCCCTTTCCCCCCTTTTCCCCTCGAGTCAGAGCTTCAGTGTGACCATCCCCCAGACGGTGTGCATCGCACTCATTATGAATGTATATACCTATCCCCTCCTCCCCAAGAATACATTCTTAAAACAAACAGTTGGAACTCCTTGGTATAGCAGCCATGGCCCTGTGTCCTCTGGCCCTGCTGATCTCCCCTGCATCATCTCCCACAGCTGCCTTCACTGTGCAACCTACCCTGCTCAGAAGCCGGGAACACACCTGAGATTTCCAACTTCTCTGTCTTTGTAGGTTATAGTCCTTCAGCATAGAATGTTCTTCCTTCTCAAGACTCTCTCACACAATGGTCTTGATGGACTCAATTTCACCCTTTAAAGGCAGCCATTTAAATTAAAGCAATTGACCAAAATTTAAGTACAACTACTATTCAATATATTAATAGTATCCCTTGTAGTCAATTTCCCTGTCATCTTCTCTCCATATGTCTTTCAAAATGAACTTACAAATATTTGAGAGGAAATAGATTTCCTCTATGCTTTCATGTACCTACCTCATTACCTACTAATTACCTGTTTATGTGCCAAGTGCCCCCAAAAAGATGGACAAGAAATGCTCCCTTCCTTCATGGATCGGGGGTGCCATTTTACCAGTTAGACAATCCCTACCCCTGCTTCCCAAAAATTCATGTGCGTCACTTATTTCATCCTTCAGAATCCTTCAGTTCAAACTTCAAAGAGAAGGAGCCACTGTTAATTCCATTTTGGGGTAGGATAATCTACATTTTATCAAGTTTCTGATAATCTTAGAAAACGGTATGGGATCTTACTTCCCTAAACATATATTGAGACTCCAGAATTGCCACAACAACCTAATTAAATTAATTTAACCTTGTGAAGTACAGGACAGTGTTTTATTCTGAGTATTAAGGTTAAACATAAAACATTTAGGTTCAGGCAATACTAGGATAAATTAGTGAAAACACATACACGCACACACACACAGGGCATCTTTGTCTTGTTCCAGTTCTTAAAGGAAACGTTTTCAGCTTTTCCCCTTTTAGTATGATGTTGGATGTGGGTTTGCCATTTATGGCCTTTATTATGTTGAGGTATATTCCTTCTATGGCTAATTTATCAAGAGTTTCATGAAGGGATGTTGAAATTCATTAAATGCTTTTTCTACATCTATTCTGATTATCATATGGTTTTTGTCCTTAATTCACTTGATGTGATGTATCACATTTACTGATTTGTGTATGTTGAACCATCTTTGCATCCCTTGGATAGGTTCCACTTGATCATGACACATTTTTTTTTTGATGTGCTATTGGAATCAGTTTCCTAGTATTTTGTTGAGGATTTTTGCATGTATGTTCATCAGCGATATTGGCCTGCATATTTTGTTGTTGTTTTTTGTTGTTGTTGTTGTGTCCTTATCTGATTTTGGTATCACAGTCATGCTGGCCTCATAGAATGAGTTGGGAAGAATTCCCTCCTCTTCAAATTTTTAGAATACTTTTGAGAATAATTGGTATTAGTACTTTATAAATTTGGAAATATTTATCAGTAAAGCCATCTGGTCCTGGGCTTTGGGACACTTTTTATTACTGATTCAATTTTGTTACTTATTATTGATCTATTCAGCTTTTCTATTTCTTCCTACTCCAATTTTGTAAGTTATCTGTGTCCAGAAATTGATCCATTCTCTAATTTTTAGAGTATAGTTGTTCATAATAGTCTGTCATAATCCTTTGAATTTCTGTGGCAACAGTTGTAATGTCTCCTTTTTCATTTCCAATTTTACTTATTTGAGTCTTTTCCCTTTTTTCTTGGTTAGTCTAGCTGGATGTTTACCAATTTTGTTTATCTTTTCAAAAAACTCAATGTCATTTCATTGATCATTTGTATTGATTTTTAGCCTCTATTTCATTTGGTTCTGCTCTGATGTTTATTATTCCTTTCCTTCTACTAATTTAGTGTTTGGATTGTTCTTGCTAATCTAACTCATTGAGGTATATCATTAGGTTCTTTATTTGAAAACTTCCTACTTTCTTGATGTAGACAATTATTGCTATAAACTTCCCTCTTAACACTGCTTTTGCTGTATCCCATAGTTGCGTTATACTGTGTTTCCATTTTCATTTGTTTCAAGAAATTTTGTATTTCCTTCTCTTCATTGAACCAACAGTCATTTAGAAACATGTTCTTTAACTTCCATGTATTTGTATAGTTTCCAAAATTCATCCTATTATTGGTTCCTAGTTTTATTTCATTGTACTCTGAGAAGATACTTGATATGATTTCATTTTTTAAAAATTTGTTGAGACTTGTTTTGTGACCTGGAATATAGTCTATTCCAGAGACTATTCCATGTGCTGGTAAGAAAAACTGTATATTCTGCAGCTGTTAGATAAAGTGTTCTATAAATGTCTGTTAGATCCATGGAATCTACAGTGCAGCTTAAACTCAATGTTTTCTGTTGATGTGTCAAGGCATGCAGGTGCACTATGGACCTGTTATTGGAGGGCAGGGTTGCTGTCAGTAGCAGCAGCCCCAGTCAGACAGCTCTTAGGCTCTGGAAAGTACATACTTCAGCTCCCTTTGTCCTGGCAGCAGTCTCTAGTGTGCGGCACCACCAGTTCCCTGGGATATAGGACACTGGGCTAGAGTGCTGTTCTGGGGACCTAGCTGCACTGCTGGGTTGGGCCAGTGTCACAGTGCTGCAGCCCTCTCGATGGACCTGAGGGATGTCAGCAAGGTCCCAGGGATGTGGAAATACAAAAAAATAAATAAATAAATAAATAAATAAGAAAAAGAAAACTACATGACATAGAAAAAACACAACAACAAAAAAAGAAAACTACAGACCAATATCACTGATAAACATAGACATAAACATCTTCAAAAAATACTAGCAAACAGAATGCAATAACACATTAAAAAGATCATTCACCATGATCAAGTAGGATTCATCATGGGGATGCAAGAATGGTTCAGCATATGCAAATGAATAACTGTTGACATATCACATGAACAGAACCCAGAACAAAAACCGCAAAATAAAAACCGCATGATTATTTCAGTAGCTGCTGAAAAATTACATCATTTGATAAAATCAATATCCCTTTATGATAAAAAAAACCCTCATAAAACTAAGTATAGAAGGGAACATACCTCAAATATTATAATAAAGGCCATATAAGATGAAATCACAGCTAACATCTTAATAAATGGAAAAAAATTTTAAAAATTTCCTCTAAGATAAGGAAAAAGACAAGGATGCCCACTTTCACCACTTTTATTCAACATAAACTGGAAGTTTGTCCAGGGCAATTAGGCAAGAGAAATATCTAAAGTGGGAAGGATGAATTCAAATTAGTCTTGTTTGCAGACAACATCATTTTATACTTTAAAAACCCTGAAGATGCCACCAAAAAACTGTTAGAACTGATAAACAAATTCAGTGAAGTTGCAAGATATAAAATCAAACAAAAATTGGCAGCAGTTATATACACCAACAGCAAACAATCTGAAAAAGAAAACAACAAACTAATTTATTAAAGCTACAAAGAATATAAAATACCCAGGAATCAATTTAATCAAGTAAAAGATTTATACAACCAAAACTATAAGACACTAATAAAAGAAATTGAAGAGGACACAAAAAAATGGAAAAATATTCCATGCTCATGGATTAAAAGAATTAATATTGTTAAAAAGACATTACTACCCAAAGCAATTTATAAATTTAATGTAATCCCTATCAAAATACCAAAGACATTCCTTATAGAAATAGAAAAAAAAAAAATCCTAAAATCTAGAGAACCACAAAAGACCCCAAATAGCCAAAACAATCCTGAGCAAAAACAACAAAGCTGGAAGCATCACACTACCTGACTTAAAAATATATTACAAAGCTATCATAACCAAATCAGCATGGTATTGGCACAAAAACAGACACATAGACCAATGAACCAGAATAGAGAACCCAGAAATAAATACATGTATTTACAACCAACTCATTTTTGATGAAGTTGTCACAAACATACAATGGGGAAAGGAGTCTCTTCACTAAATGGTGCTGGGAAAACTGGATAACCATAAGCAGAAGAATGAAACTAGACTTTTCTCTTACCATATATAAAAATTAAATCAAAATAAATAAAAGACTTAAATTTAGGTCCTGAAACTATGAAACTACTAGGAAAAAAACTATGGGGGAAACGCTACAAGACATTGAAAGATTTTTTGTGTAAAACTTCAAAAGCACAGGCAATCAAAACAAGAATAGACAAATGAGATTATATCAAGCTAAAAAACTTCTGCACAGAATAGGAAATAATCAATGAAGTGAAAAGACAATCCATAGAATGGAAGAAAATATTTTCAAACTATACATCTAATAAAGGATTAATAACCAGAATATAGAAGGAGCTCAAACAAAACAGCAAAAAAACCCAAATAATACAATTAAAAATGGGCAAAAAATCTGAATAGACATGTCTCAAAGGAAGACATTCAAATGGCCAACAGGTATATAAAAATGGCCAACATCACTTAGCATCAGAGAAATGCAAATCAAAACCACAATGAGATATCATCTCACCCCAGTTAAAATGGCTGTTATCAAAAAGGGTATTAATAGATGCTGGCAAGGATATAGAGAAAGGGGAACACTCGTACACTGTTGGTAGGAATGTAAAGTAGTACAGCCACTAAGGAAAACTGTATGGAAGTTTCTGGAAAAACTAAAAATAGAACTACCATATAATCTAGCAATTTTGCTACTGATTATATATCCAAAAGAAGAGAAATCGATATATTGAAGAGCTATCTGCATTTCCATGCTTATTGCAGCATTATTAACATTTGCTAAAATATGGGATCAAAGTTTAAGTGCCCATCGGTGGATGAATGGATAAAGAAAATGTGGCATATATAAGCAATGGAATATTATTCAGCCATAAAAATGAAATCCTGTTATTTGCAGCCACATGAATGGAACTGGAGGCCATTATGTTAAGTGAAGTAAGCCAGTAACAGAAAGACAAATATCACCTGTTCTCACTCATATGTGGGAGTTAAAAAAAAAAAAAGTGTACCTCATGGGAGTAATCACTCTGTGGTTCTCCCTAATATGCATATTCATAAATTTGTATGCCTTTTCTCAAAAACAAAAAAGTCCATCTCATGAAGATAGAGAACATATTGGCAGGTGCCAGAGGCTGGAAATGGTAGGGGGGTGGGAGGGATAAAGAGGTCGATTAATGAGTACAAAAAAACCTCATAAGCCTACCCTATATCACACAGAAACTGTACTCCTAAGTATTTACCCTATCACACAGAAACACTCCTAAGTATTTACCCTAC